TCTGTCAGAGGAGGTAAATAGGCCTCTGCAGTGTTGTGGTGAGGCCTGAATGGGGCACAGCAGGGGGTGCTTGGCCAGAGAGCCCAGCACCGGTGAGCGTTCCGCAGGTGGTAGCTTAACAGGACAGTGCTGCTACCGGATAGTTGCCTGGAATTCTCGCAGTACTCCCAGAGGTTGGTGTTGAGGCTCCGTCCTGCCCTTCCTCCGCAGGACTCACAGCTGACGGGATTTGGCAGAGAGTGAAGCACGCAGTGCAGAGCCAGCCAAGAGTTGTGCTAAGTGAAATGATTTCTTCCCCTTTCATGTAGAGGTCACTGGATGAGAGAACGTGGCACTGCTCATTGTCGTTGCTGAAACATAAACAGGCAGGTGGCTCAGTTAGGACAGAGAAGTGATGCTGCTGTTGTCATTGGCAGCAGCATTTAACCATGAATACCCAAGGATGCGCCGCAGGGCTCTCTTCAGAGTGGTTGGGCCCCGGGTTCTGTGGCATCTTGTGGGGAGGGAAGCGATTTATCTCACGGTGGAGCAAGGCAGTTCACAGCTGATGGGGTGTACCTGTGAGCTGCCATCTTTTTGGTACAAGATACCTGCCAGCTCCAACCATCACATACAGTTCCAAGCCACAAAGATGGAAGAAGAGAACAAGAACATGGACTCTGTCACAACCATTGTGCCACACTGCCCACGCGATGTTTCTCCTACCTGTCATTGGCCAGAACGTTGTCACATGGCCACACTTAGCCGAGCTGCATCAGCCGGGCAGCAGTGTGACCAGCTGAAAGTCAGGATTTTGTTCCTGAGGATAAGGAGACCAGTGTTGAAGAAGACACCAGCACAGACAGCAGACATCGTGTATTTTCCTGCATTTTGGCTCCTGAAATGTCTTTTTGTTTTTAATATTTATTTATTTATTTAAAGGATGATAGAGACAGGGAGAGATCTTCCATCTGCTGCTTCACCCCTCAGAATGACCACAGATGGGGACAAGGCCAGGCTGGTGGCAGGAACTCAAATACTTGAGCCATCATCTGCTTCTCAGATGAACTAGCAGGAAGCTGGATTGGAAGTAGAGTAGCCAGGACTCAAACTGGCAATCTGATAAGGGATGTGAGTTTTGCAAGTGGTGGCTGAACCTGCTACAACCACAGCACTGTCCCTGAAATGTCTTCCTGTAATCATGCTTCATGCTTAATAGGTCTGAAGCTCCACCTCAGATTAACCGTTTCAGAAACCAGGATGTGGCCGGCGCCGCAGCTCACTAGGCTAATCCTCCACCTTGCGGCGCCGGCACACCGGGTTCTAGTCCCGGTCGGGGTGCTGGATTCTGTCCCAGTTGCCCCTCTTCCAGGCCAGCTCTCTGCTGTGGCCAGGGAGTGCAGTGGAGGATGGCCCAAGTGCTTGGACCCTGCACCCCATGGGAGACCAGGAGAAGCACCTGGCTCCTGGCTTCGGATCAGCGCGGTGTGCCGGCCTCAGCACACCGGCCGCGGCGGCCATTGGAGGGTGAACCAATGGCAAAGGAAGACCTTTCTCTCTGTCTCTCTCTCCCACTATCCACTCTGCCTGTTAAAAAGAAAAAAGAAACAAGGATGTAAGGGAGAGGCATTGGGCCTCGCAGTTAAGACTCTGGTTAAGATGTTCGTGTCGTGTCGTATATTGGAGTGCCTGGGTTCAGTTCCTGGTTCTGACTTCTGACTCCAGCTTTGTACCTTTTCAGACCCCGAGAGGCATCGGTGATGGCTCAAGGAGTTGAGTTGGGGACCTAAATCAGATTGCTGTCTCTTGGCTTTGGGTTGGCCCAGTGCTGGCAATTGTGGGTATTTGAGTGTGCTTTCCTTAACCCACATAAGAATTTTTACAAAGGTGCCAGATGTGACTGTTGGATTCCCCAACTGGTTATAAATGTGAAGTGTTGTTTATAGATACTTACTAATTTTGATTACTTTGGTAATTTTACCTTTCTAGATTTCAAATCCATTACCAGTCCTTCTAAAAATTACCCAGAAGGAACTCTGTAATTAAGTTTTCAGCCTCCCTTGACACACAGTTATACGGGTCTCTTCACACTGTGTGCAGCATCACTTGTGAGCCCTGTAGCTTGTGAATTTGCAGGGTTCCACCAGCCCCACCCCAGTGAGGTGGGTGAAACCCCAGAAGAAGAGAGGTCAGGTCAGCTTTCGATGACTGAGTTAGGGATGAGGTCAGACCAGGAGAGCTGCTGAATCAAGTTCTTGGGCATTAGTGTCTGACACTGAGTCTTGGAGGAACTGCACTTAGCTGCGGAGTGCAGGGGAGGTGCGTGCGTCATCTGTCAGCCGGATTCTAAGCAGATTGTGTACAGCGCCGCTTCAGGTTGCTGGCAGCTTCACCCCCTAGTACCCCTGCCCCTCTGCAATGGAAGGCACTGCTGAGTAACTGTCCGTAACAGTGAGGGATGTATGCAGGTGCTTTACAGTTTTGTTCACAGGAAAGTGAAATCAGAAGATAAATTGGGGCCAGCATTGTGGCCCAGTGGGTTAGGCCACTGCTTGCAGTGCTGGCATCCCACTTCAGAGTGCTGGTTCAAAGTCCTGGCTGCGCCACTTCCAATCCAGCTCCCTGCAAATGTGCCTGGAAAGCAGCATATCATGGCCCAAATTCTTTGCCTAAGTTAGTTCGCCAGAGGCATCACCATTTCCTCTGATGGGAATGACCGTCCTGGTATTGACACAGGGCACCATGTGTGTCCGCTGTCTTCAGCCTGCTCAGCGGTTCTGAAGACAGAATTTTGACAGCGTGCACCACCACACTGTGTCTTAGGTGGCTTTCCGGGTCCAGGGATGAGACTGTGCATAAGACCCCTGTGACCCAGTTCTAGGCATCAGTGGGGCCACACAGCTTTTGTGCTGACCCCGTGCCAGCCCTTACAGGCAGCCTTTCCGCCCCAGTAGCAGAGGGGCGCTGTTAGGAGGTGGGAAGCAAGCCTGGGCTTAAGCAGATAGATCCTTGTTCCCACTCCCGTGTTCAGGATTTCAGTTCGCAGTGTGTTTTGTCCTTCTCACTGGCGGGGCGATGGTGAACCTCCTCTCGAGACCTGGTAGGACAGTGGAACACGTCACAGTGGCTGATGCTGAAGGGGTTCCTCAGGTTGACAGTTGGAGGCGCCCCACCGTAGAAGGCAGTAGACTTGGTCCCTCTGTCTACCGCACTTAGGGTAAAGCAGTCTCCAGCGGAGTGTGCAGCGTGAGCACCACAGCGTCTGTGCCGAGACGTCAGCACACAGAAGCTTGTCTGAAATCCAGGGCGGCCTCCGCGGAGCAGCTTTGGTTGCTCGTGAGAAGGCAGACACTGTCGGACTGCCCGGTGTGTCCTGTTTTTGTCTCAAGTGTTCCTGATTTCAGACTGGCTGTTGGTAGGTCAGTTTGCAGCCCCAGTGTGATCAAGTCAGGTCACACGGGAACCACCACATGAAGCCTACTGCTGTCTTGTCTCTCCCGCTCCCTGCTCGCTGTCCGCCCTGCTTCCACCTCAAGCTGTGGCCAGTGTACAGGGTGGGGCAGGCTGTGGGAAGAGCATTTTTCTAAAGCCAAAGTGAACATCTCCAGAGCTGAAGAGTATTGTATGCAGCCTCAGAGATCAATTGTATTTGCTCACTCTTTGTTTCAAATTCTTCCTGGCAGAAGCAATAAAAAACGTGTACAGAGCAGAGATTTGTCCTAATGCCCACCTCTTAGCTGAACCCCCTGTGGAATTCAGCCAGGGAATGGTCTGAACACGTCCTCAGTGGGCAGTGAGGGCCAGTGTGAGGCAGGAACTGGCTTTCCAGGCGGTGCTCTGAGAGCCGCGGGCTGAGTGGTCTTGGGCCCCGTCCCACCTCTGGGCACAAGCGTGGTGGCGTGTGCTGTCAGATCCTGATTGCTGAGCAGGCTGCCACAGTGGGCATGCGTGGCACCACACCCCCCATGTTAATACATGGAAGGTCATTCTCTCCAGGGAGCCGATGGATCCTAGCTTTGTGCTTTCAGTGTCTGGTTCTGCTCCCGAGGGAGCATTGCTGGCACCAAGCCTGTCTCTGTAGTCAGTCCTGGCATCTGGGGCAAGGAGGAAGGGGCACTTGCAAGAAGGCAGGTGGACCAACCTAATGAGAAGAACATTAGAAAACAGCTTTTCCGTTGTTTTTTTGATGGTCACCCCTCTGTCTGTGTTTCTGTCTTGTACGTACATACCACAGCATGGGTAACGGAAGTGGAAAAAACTGAACCGCTCTGCTTGGTGACTGCTCTTCTGTCTTGAACTTGGCTCTGCCTTTGTCCTTTATCCTAGCTCGAGGATCAGGCAGCGCCATCCCAGCTCTTCATCCTCGCTGAGTAACTGGGGAAAAGCCCTTGGAATAAAGAGTTTGCTCTCTGGCCTGATTTCACCATCCAAGATTAGGTCCCACAGCCTGCAGACGTTTTCTCCCTGTTAGGGTTAGGGTGACTACAACCCAGCTTGCCTGTAGCACATTTATGTCCGCTGTTCCCTGAGATTAATAGCACTTTCTGCCGCAGGTTAAGCACTGCTTGGGATGTCTGCCTCTCATATTTGAGTGCTGGTTTGAGTCCCGGCTCCTCTTCTTCGTCTCCAGCTTCCTGTTAATGTGCCTGGGAAGGCAGTAGATGTTGGCGCAAGTACTTGTGCCAGTCCCACCCATGTGGGAGACCTGGGTGGAGTATCAGACTCCTGGCCCGGCGCTGACTGTTGTGGGCACCTGGGGAAGAAATCAGCGGGTGGGAAATCTGCCCACCACCCCTTCCTCACCCTCCCTTCATCTCTCCCTTGTTTTTCCCTGTTGCTCTCTTACTCTGCCTTTCAAATACATACATACACACACGCGTACCTCTTTACAAAGCTTTCTTTCTCAAAAACGTGCCCTTGGGTGGCGTATTTTCAGTGTGGTTGTGCCGGTTAGGGGTGAAGGAAAGGCTGCGTGCTCGCGGGCGCCGTCTGACCCACGCTGCCCTCCTCTCTCACCGCAGCTCCACCTGGCAGCCCTGGCGTCCCTGAAGGGAGATATCGTGGAGCTCAATAAACGTCTGCAGCAGACGGAGCGGGAGCGGGACCTTCTGGAAAAGAAATTGGCCAAGGCACAGGTAAGGGCCTGGGACGGGTGTGTGAGTGAGTGTGTGTGAGTGTAACGTAAAACACTGAAGTCCCCACTCCACAGATGACGGCTTCGTGAGAAAGCACTTCGGCTGGGCTGCGCTCACAGTCTCCAAGGACTGGGGGCTTCCCGGTGTGCAGTGCTTGTGGTTCTGACGCTGGAACCCAGGACCGAGGAGCCTGCCGGCTTTCCTGCTGGTGGGGGCTCTCTGCCTAGTTAACAGATGTGTCCTCGTGTGTGAGAGCGTCTCCCCCGGCCCTTCTGATGCAGGCAGTAATCCGGCTCAGGGGCCTCCACCTTCACGACCCGGGCACCTCCCAGGACCATCACATAGAGGGTCTAGTCTTGAACATGGGTCTGGGGAGACACAGACCTCAGTCCCTAGCACACTCTCACAACCGCTGCCCAAGCCGGGAAATGCGACTTAGCTGCCAGCCTGGAAGCCTCCTGCCCAGGCCCGTCCCCATTTCCACACAAAGATAAACCTGAGGTGTCTTTTACAGCGTGATTTCTCGTGTTTCTTTACAGTTTGCATATGTAGATAGTAGAGTTTGTCCATTAAAAAAAGGCATTTTCTTCAAATTTCCTAACGTATGGGTTTTTCCTCCAGCCTTTGTTTGCTTTAATTTCTCCCTAACTGTGAAGTTTCCCACAGTCTGAGTGAACACGGTTTTCACATGAGCTCATCTGTACTCTGCAAATGGACAGCTGAGCCCCGCTAGGGATTTGTGTGCATGTATGTATGTATGTATTTTAACTCAGATACATACTGCCTGCCTGTTTATCTTTCTGTGTAGCAGCTGTTGGTGGTTTATGTCTAGGCTCATAGCTTTATTAGGACTTACAAAGTCTTGATAGCTTAGTTCTGCTATGTGTCAGTTATTAATTAGAATACTTTCATAGAGACATTTTCCATCATCTGTGTTGAAACCTGGTGTAGTTCATAGAGAAAAGCAGAATAAACACACAAATCCTTCCATTTATTTAACATTTTTCAAAATAATGAGTTGGTCCTTCTGAAATCTCAGGTTGTGATGTCTGTGGCTGGTGAGAGCCGCCTCAGGGTGGGTGCTGCTCTGACGATGTGAGTCTCGTGGTTACTCAGGGCTCCTGCGCCGTTTCTTGCTCCCAAACTGGACTTAGCAATTTTCCCAGTAGACATGGTTTTTATCATCAGGAAATGATATTTCAGGACCATGGTGTGTATGCTGAGTTCTTTCTGCTTTGAGGATTTGTATTGTTTCTAGGCCTCCTCTGTAGGTGGAGTCAGGGAATTATTTAATTACTTAGATACGGAGGTGTACTTCAACTATGTATGAGGGCACTTCATAGTTTGTGGAAAAGTGGAGGTAAAAAATAAGCTTTGTGGTGCAAAACCTAACTGGGTAGGAGCAGGTGTTACGGTGCAGTGGGTTAAACCATGCTTATGATGCCTACATCTCATATCAGAGTGTCTGCTCCAGTCCCAGCTACTCTGCACTTCCGGTATAGCTTTCTCCTAAGTACCTCTATGCATCCAAGTACCTGAGTCCCTGACACCCATGTAGAAGACCTGGGTGGAGTTCTGGACTCCAGGCTTTGGCCTGGCCCAGGCCTGGCTGTTGTAACCATTTGGGAATGAACCAGTAGATTGAAACACACTGACTCTCTCTCTTTCTCTCTTACCTGTCAAATAAATAAAAATTTTAAAAAATGTGTAAAAATAAAATTAATAACCATATATGAGGTCTTCAAAAAAGTTCATGGAAAATGTATGCTGTGAAAAAACTATTATTGAATTACAAGGTTTCTTTTTACATCAAAAAATTATCTTTTATTTCAATTTTTCTACTTTTCAGAAGTTCTCACATAAAATTTAAGACTTTATACCTTAGAAATTCTTATTTTCACTCCCAGTTCAGATTCAGACTTTAAAGTGTTTTTGCTTCTGTATTTCATTTGTATCTCCTTTGTTTCACACTAAAAATCCCCTTAATGTAATATAAGACCCTTTCCAGGGGCTGGTGTTGTGGCACTGTGGATTAAGCTGCTGTTCACTAAGCTAGCATCCCATATCAAAGTGCTGATTTGGATACCAGCTGCTCTGCTTCTGATCCAATTCCCTGTTAATGCGCCAGGGAGGGAAGGTAGTGGAGGATGGCCCCAATGCTTGGGCCCTTGCCACCCAGGTGGGAAACCAGGATGGATTTCCTGGCTCCTGGTTTCTGCCTGGACCAGACCTAATGTTGCAGCTGTTTGGGAGAATGAACTAGTGGATGGAAGATATCTTTCTCTCTCTCCCTCTCTGCCTCTCTGCTGCTCTTTCAAATAAATAAATATTTTGGCCGGCGCTGCGGCTCACTAGGCTAATCCTCTGCCTGCGGCACCGCCACACCAAGTTTTAGTCCCAGTTGGGGTGCCGGGTTCTGTCCTGGTTGCTCCTCTTCCAGTCCAGCTCTCTGCTGTGGCCCAGGAGTGCAGTGGAGGATGGCCCAAATTCTTAAGCCCCGCACCCACCTGGGAGACCAGGAGAAGCACCTGGCTCCTGGCTTTGGATCGGTGCGGTACACCGGCCACAGCGTGCCAGCCGGAGCTGACATTGGGGGGTGAACCAATGGAAAAGGAAGACCTTTATCTCTCTCTCTCACTGTCCACTCTGCCTGTCAAAAAAAATATATATTTTGACTCAGGGTAAATGTTCCATTCTGTATTTTGTACTTGTTCTCTCATTCATTCTTTCTAGTAATTTTGCTGGCATAAGTCTTCAGGTTTTTAAACATGTATTTCATTTTGTTTTGTATGTCAGTTATGGAGAGAGAGGAAAAGAGATCTTCCATCCTCTAGTTCACTCCTCAAATGACTGCAACAGTTGGGGGTAGGCTAGGCCAAAGCCAGAAGCGCAGAAATCTATCCAGATTTCCCACGTGAGTGGCAGGGTTCCAAACCCTTGTGCCATCTTCTGCTGTTTTCCCAGATGCATTAGCAGGGAGCTGGATTGGAAGTGAGGCAACTGGGACTCCAACCGGTACTCATATGGGATGCCAGTGTTACAGCAGGCAGCTTAACCTGTGGCACCACAACACAGCCCCTAGAATGACTCTTAATCATTCTAATCATTCTCAGGTTTGCTGTGTATTCTTTGATTATCACTTGGTATTGTCTTTTTTTTTTTTAATTTCAGGACTTTTTAAAAAATGTATTCTTTTTTTTTTTTTTTTTTTTTTTTTTTTGACAGGCAGAGTGGACAGTGAGAGAGAGAGACAGAGAGAAAGGTCTTCCTTTTGCTGTTGGTTCCCCCTCCAATGGCTGCCATGGCCGGTGCGCTGCGGCCTGCGCACCGCGCTGATCCGATGGCAGGAGCCAGGTGCTTTTCCTGGTCTCCCATTGGGTGCAGGGCCCAAGCACTTGGGCCATCCTCCACTGCACTCCCTGGCCACAGCAGAGAGCTGGCCTGGAAGAGGAGCCACCAGGACAGAATCCAGCACCCTGACCGGGACTAGAACCCGGTGTGCCGGCGCCGCTAGGCGGAGGATTAGCCTAGTGAGCCGCGGTGCCAGCCGAGAAAGGTCTTCTTTCTGTTGGTTCACTCCCCAAATGGCTGCTACAGCCAGCCAGCGCTGAGCTGATCCAAAGCCAGGAGCCAGGTGCTTCTTCCTGGTCTCCCATGCAGGTGCAGGAGCCCAAACACTTGGGCCATCCTCCACTGCCCTCCTGGGCCACAGCAGAGAGCTGGACTGGAAGAGGAGCAACCGGGACTAGAACCCAGTGCCCATACGGGATGCCGGCGCCGCAAGTGGAGGATTAACCAAGTGAGCCACGGTGCCGGCCAATATTTTCTTTTTTTTTTTTTATTTGTTTATTTAAAGGCAGAGTGACAGAGAGGTTAAAACAGAGAGATCTGGGGCCAGCGCTGTGGCACAGCAGGGTAAAGCCCTGACCTGAAGCACTGGCATCCCGTATGGGTGCCGGTTCTAGTCCCAGCTGCTCCTCTTCTGATCCAGCTCTCTGCTATGGCCTGGGAAAGCAATAGAAGATGGCCCAAGTCCTTGGGCCCCTTCACCCACGTGGGAGACGCAGAGGAAACTCCTGGCTTTGGATCAGCACAGCTCCGGCCGTTGCAGCCATGTAAGGAGTGAACCAGCAGATAGAAGACCTCTCTCTCTGTCTCTATGTCTCTCTGTAACTCTGTCTTTCAAATAAATAAAATAAAATCTTAAAAAAAAAAAAAGACAAAGATCTTCCATGCGCTGGTTCACTCCCCACAATAGCTGCAGCAGTTAAGTCTGGGCCAGGTTGAAACCAGGAGCCGGGAACTCCATGCCCGTCTCCCACGTGGGTGGCAGGAGCCCAGCTACTCAGGCCATCTTCCGCTGCTTTTCCAGGTGCCTTAGCAGGGAGCTGGGTCAGAAGCAAAGCAGCTGGGACACAGTGCTCAGATATGGAATGTCAGTATCTCAGGTGGCTGATTCACCTGCTCTATCACATCAGTCGAGCTTTGATTTCCAAGGACTGCTATTATTTGTATGTTAGATTGTCTGTGCCTGACTTTACTATCTGTCATGATTTCAAACTCCTTTTATCTTTCCTTTAAATTTTTTAGAATTATTTATTTGAGAGAATGTTTCCATCTGCTAGTTCACTCTCCACATGCCTGCAGGGATCCCGGGATAGGTTGGGGGTTGAAGCCGGGAGGTCCCAGATGCCCACTCCCATCTCCTTTATCTAACTTAAATTTTCCCCTGTTCTCCATGTTCTCTTCCTCTTGGTATTATACACTGTTTTTGTCCCTTCCTTTGTGCCTTCCAGTTTAGTCTGCATTTCTGAAATGTATTTTTGACTCATTTTGGGCTGGACATTGCCCACCCCTGCTGCATAAGATTGCTATTGATTTTTGTGCGTTGATTTTTTATCCAACAAGGCTGCTGAATTATCCATTCTGATGTCTCTTGGTGGAGTCTTGGTTCCCCATCAGGAGCGGGGAACGTCTGGCCCACAGGCTGTATATAACAC